TCGCCAGTACTCCATTTCTCCCTGTTTATTAAATAGGATATTGATTTAATGAAATACAGAGAGAGAGAGAGAGAGAGTATATATAGATAGCAATTAGCACCACTTTTAATGACTATCATGAAAAATTTTAAATTGCCCCAGATAATTTGAAGTATTCACATCATGTACAAGATTAATTTATATTCTGGTATTCATGAATAAACTACTTAGGTTGATTACTTCAGAAATCAATATTAACTGTCTTTGTCAGTATAACTAGAGGCAGTGAAGCAGCTAAATTTGTAACAGAACTAGTAATCAGGTGGCCATGAAATGAGGATTAAAATTTCATTTTACCAAGCTGACTCTGCACTTAGCAGGATAGTAAAAATTACAAAATCAAACTAGCTTTAATTAAACATGAAATACTGGATCTCCTGTTATTTCTATAGATATCAGGATCCTTCTATTTTGTTTTCTGCTTTTCAAATTCAACACACAAAATTAACTTGAGGGACATACAATGCATGCATATATTTCTATGCTAACCTTGGGTATCATATATTTGTTTAAAATTTTTCAATATTTCTTAATAAAGTGGAAATTTCAATGAAAATAAATTATGATTACCGTATAAGTGGAAATTTTAGCGAGGATTTAAGTTTGGCATTATTAGCGAGGTTGCTGAGATCGCCAAAATTGAATATCGCTAAAAATTAATTGTGTTTTATTTTTAATAGCTTCTTTAGTGAGCATTTTAAAATCGCTAAAACTGATTCTCGCTAAAAATAAAATATCAATTTTTAAGGAGAGATCGCTAAATCTGCGTCTCGCTAAAATTTCCACTTAATATACAGTATATAATTCTAATTTAAATGTTAGAATGCATGCAAACTAAAACAGTTTACGGGAAATAAGATAAAATTAAAACTGCTTGGATAATGTGTTGATCATCCCTTTATATTTCTACACTTTTTTTTCTTCCATGAAAACAGCAGCAATACTGCCCTGATTTTTTTTATCAGATAATTAATCAATAAATGTAATTAAGGAAATAGGTTGACACAGCGCAATTGCTCAACCAGGAATAAATTATGGTTGCGAAATAACTTCACTATAGGACTTTGAACTAGTATTCTATTAATAATACTTCAATCTGAATTTTGCAAGGAAATATCATGACAATCCCTAAAAGGTGTAAGAAAAACTTGTTCTGAAATGACAATCAAACAATTTTCAACTTTTTAGAGAAAGGTGAAGGGGGGGGCTTCTTCTTGGGATTTTACATTCAAAACCTGAGTTAATGCACTATCTATATATGCTTACCTGGAACATTTCTTTGATTTCCTTTCTCCTGTTCATGTCTTGAACAGCTTTAATGACCTGGTCATGGCTTATACCTGTATCTTTTATGAAGGCATCCAGCAACTTCTGAATCTATTTAGACAAAGAATTTAAAATCTGAAGTTTTCCCTAATCAGTAGAATCAGTAGAAGTCTCCAAACATATGTCTATGGAAAAGAACAACAAGAACTCATTTTACCCTTCCTTATTTCACAAACAAAACTTACAATAGCTTTGTATTCCTGGTGAACTTTCTTGTATTCCTCACTGTCTTCAATACTTGGATCAAAAACTGAAATAGAACAGCTTCATATACTTAAGCTTGAACCCAACATCACAAGTGATAAAAGGATTATGAAAATCTTTGATATAAAATAGCAACTGCTTTTCATTTCACTTGCTAAATCAATTCAAGTCCGGGCATATCATTATCTTGCAACTTTGAGCTTTTTCAAGGAAACAACAGTCCCGGGGAAAAATTTTGAGAGAATTTGTCAGCTATTTTCAGTGCAACTCCTTTTATATTCTTCAAAATCATTTCAGAGTGTACCTGCATGTACTCTTTTTTTCCCCCTATATTACAACTATATAGGACATATTTTAACTGTTAGATTGTTCTAACTATGCCTTCTCATGTTATATGTATCTGGATATAGAGTCCAAATTATATATCTTCAGACCTTTTTAGACTTAATATACAATTTTTAAATTTATCTTATTATAGGTCTTCTCTAAAGACAAATTATCATGATATTCTGTAATTCTTATACAGAAGACATAAGAAATATAAGATGACATTTATTAAGTATATTAGTAGCCAGTGCAGCGAACATCACAAAGCAACGCTCATCACTCTGAGCTCTTCAATAATTTTTTTCCCAGTTACCTGTGGTCCCATAACCCTTAAATAAATGCATTTCGCTGCAAACTACTTTTTTTGCAGAAACAAGAACTTCTAAGAAAAAAATAAAATTATCGATTTTATGGATGTATTAAAAGAGGGACTAATCTAAGGCATACTTAAATTTATCCATATTCGGCATTTTTCCCCAAGAGAAAATTTCCCTTAAATATCTAATTTTCTCCTTTCAATGGGTAAAAAATTCCCCTGACAATGATAAAAAGCTGAAATAATTTGTTTCCTTTATAAGAAGTGGAAAATTAAAGAAAAAAACTGTTCAAAAGATATGGAATATCAATTTATATTTTACTATGCTATTTTATTCACTCAAAATGGTCATTTACATGATGAAATTCAGTTGGGCCCCACAATTGTGCTTGCCCTGCACCTGCATGGGATCTGGGGTGGTCCCAGACCCCCAGCTGATTTCCCCATTTTCTCCAGAGAGGGTAGTTTTCCCTAATAGTAGCAATGCCCAAGCAAGGGGGAGATAACTTTCCAGATTTCCTCAGCCTCGTTTTGATTCCATATCTAAAAAGAGCTTAAAAAGTACGGCTTAATACACTACTTTCCCTCGTGTTTTCAAACGTTTTGATGACCTTTCTATGAAGTTTGAGATGCCCCCTAGCATTACCAACCCTGAATGTTTGAAGTATGGCGCGATTAGTCGTTTTAAAAATAGATTGAAAAATTTAAAAATCTCTAATTTTCATATACGGACGAGTACAGTGTCAAAACATGCAAAAATAGCTTCTTTTGATATACCACTACAAATGCATATCACTTACAGGCAAGTATTCAACCGTTCTTGTTCGCCACACGAATTTTCTAAGGCCTACTGGAGCAAATTCGGATTGTAGCAGACAGCCAACACGTGTGTAGAAAAAATGTACACAACGTAAATTGAACGTATGATGGTCTGTTTACTTCATTGTCAAGCTGATACAATGTTATATTCTTGTTTTTGAACTATCCTGAAGCATTTTAATAATGAAATTCCGTTCAAAGACTATTTCGTGCGCGAAAACGAAAGTAGGGTTCATCTCAAAGTGAACAAGAATAAATTTCAAGATTGACTTACATTGGTGAAGAAAACAGTGAAAGTCAAATGAAAACTTCATTTATAATCATACTTTGATTTTTATTGCTATTTTTATTTCTTTAAATGACAACACAGCATACGAATAATGAGACATAAGCTATTCTGTATAAATAAATAAAACAAAGGAAGACAACTCTTGCATTTCACATTCTGTGTCATATTTTCTTCTATGTCTCAACAGTGGCACGAGAAAATTATGAAATTTCAGATGAAATTAACAAACTGGTACATAGGTTATATTCTAAAATTGTTTTGATCTAGTATTCCTGCATTATCTGCTTTTAATCTGCTGATGTACACTTTCCAATCATTTTCCTCTGAAAGATGGATAACTCTGTAAGAATTCTGCATTTTTTAAACATTCATTAAAAGCTCAATTTTCACCCGATTTAAGAAATGATTTTTGATATGGAATCAGTGGGTCATACTCTACACAATGGACATAAAAAACTAACAATTTTTTGACTCTTTAAAAATCATTGGGCATTGCTACTAATAGCTAGATTAATAATCCCTAATAGCGGATAAAAAAAAATTAGCTGCTAAATGTTCTAAATTAAAATTACCACTGTCCGGACATCGGTTTGGTATTATAAATGCAACATACATACAACGTCTTGTGACGTCAGAGTCTAGACGTAGCAAACGTCACATGCTGTTTGATGAGCCCGAACTAAAATAGAAATCTGCGCCCTAGCTAACTGTCAACATATTATTGACATTTGTAAAATTCTGATGCCTTCTTTTACCATCCATCCACGCAGAAAAAAATCAAAGGTGTGAGAAACTAAGAGTAGATCTAGTGGAGATATTGCAATAGGTGAAAATAAAAATCGATGTCGAGCATTGGCATGCATAGCAATGACATACATTAACTTTCTCTTTGTACACATTTATATAAAATAAACATTCATCAATGATGTGAAAAAATACTCACTTAAACATTTAGATTCCATAAAAGTTAAAACTGGGACTTGAAAGAAAGGATTTCCCAAGAAACACAGTAGTTCATCGTAGACCCAATCATCTCGCTTCGCCATCTTGACAAAATGACGCCAAGTCTCGCGTTTCTAGGGATTTTATTCGGAATTCTCTAGACTTTACCTTGAACACACATCGGAAAAAATTAATTTGCTCAAAATTTAGTCGTGTCTATACTTGATTGAGTATAATTTAAAAGGGATCAACTCAATAGATACTTAATATCTAATTGTAATTTACGAACCTTTTGCTGATTAATCAAAAGTACTTAAATATTCTTATTCTTGTTATATTCATAGGGTTATAGCAATTTTTTTCTCAGATATAAAATAAAAAAGAAGCTATTTAAAAAAATGATATTTTTTAGATAAAGGAATAAATTTGTAAATCATCAATCATTTGGTTCATTTAAATTATCTTTTGTTTTACTAACAATGTATATTTTTACTAATTTTTATCTTTGTGTAAATATGTTAAAATAAAATCGGTTAAAGAGCTTACCACAGCTCATGTTATCTCTATTGTACTGTATATATGTGCCGACTATTAATAAAATTTACTTGACTTGATTATGATACTCAATAAATACAATTTGGGTTATTTAGAAAACTGTACAAAATATGTTAGGTATCATTTTGAGGATACACCGTTTAACCTCAGTTTCAGTATCAATCTTTCGGAACCCATTTCGTATTTCCCTTGGTCAATTCTGAGAGGTAGTAATGAGATGATGAAAAGTGTAAATTTGAGCTTCTACAAGTTTGAGGAATATGATGTTTTAACTTAGATAAGTTAAGTGGATAAAAAGAACTGAAAATGACAACCCGTGCAGCAACATGTAAGTATAAGGATATTGTGACTGCACTTTGAGAAGACCCAGACGATAGGTCATGAATGCAAATGATGGACTAATCTGATTATTATGAACGTCCATTTTTCGATGGTTGTATCCGAGAGCGTATTATCACGTAGCTCTTTCTTCCTCTGTCCAAGTGAATGTGTATTTTAAAAATAATTTTAGGGATGCGTATTTTCTAATGATTTTATAAACCAATTTTTGTGTCTTTGAATTTTGTAAACTGCTACCCCCTTTAATAACAAAATGCCAATTTGAAAAATTTGGCATATACATGTGAGAAATTGCTTCATGTAGTGGGAGCTCTGGGAGCACAAATAAGAGTATTTGGTATCATTTTGGCTATATGCCCAGCATCACTTGGTCTCTAATCTGCCTAATATATTAATTGTTTATCAATGCCTTAATGCATATATATCTTTTGAATTAATTGTAAGAGGAAAACGTTTAAAATTTTGGAATATATATATTTCATAACAAATTACAAGGGCCAGTAAGCTCGTGACCTAGATCCTGTTGATATTATGTTCCCCAAACGAAGTTGGGGAACATATTGTTTTCACTCTGTTTCTTATTATTATTCTTCTTCTTCTTCTTCCTGGGTACTTTTTTGTCCGGGAGTGGGAACATACTAAAGACCTGATATACTAAAGACCTGATATTTGACCTGATGAAAAAAAAATCATAAAAAATTGTCAATTTAAACATTACATTTCGTATTTCTGAGGCAAAAATATTAATGATGGTATCTAATATTACACTAAAATACACTTTTAGTAGAGAAAAAGTAGATTTATTTGCTATGTATTAAGGTATATTCATAAAACTTGATGACCTGATATTTTGAATGACCTGATATTTTTACTTTACAGACCTGATATTTTTAACTGAAATGGAATTGCTGCAGATATTCAAATTTTATCAAGTTTAACTTGAAATCTGCTTTATTTTCCTGAAGATTTACTATAAGAATAAATTAGGTCATTTAAACCAATCACCTCGTTTAAAAATATCAGGTCATTGAAAAATATCAGGTCTTTAGTAGGAAATCATCAGGTCATTTCAAATCATCAGGTCAATTTTTTTCTTCAATTCTGGCAAGAAGATTTGTCTCAAAAACATTTAAAGTGTTTAATTTTTCTAAAAGAATTTAAAAAAAAAATATCAGGTCATTCAAAAACTTCCATTGAAAGTCATTTAATTATAAAAATATCAGGTCTTCACCAGAAATATCAGGTCATTCAAAATATCAGGTCAACAAGTTTTTGTAAGAACACCTTGATACAAATAAAAAATTCTCAGTTTTCTACTAAAAGTGTATTTTAGTATAGTATCATCATAATTTTCTCCCCAAAAATTAAAACAGAATGTTTAAATTGATAATTTAATGAGATATTTTTTTTATCAGGTCAAAATATCAGGTCTTTAGTATATCAGGTCTTTAGTATGTTCCCCGGGAGTGATCTTGTAAACTGTTCATCCGATGTAGGTAAAACCTTTTTAGGGTCAGTAGACATGTTATATAGATTTGTGGAATCAAGGTCATTTTGCGCGCACGTGCTTGCAAGAGCGTGCGCGTGCAACACGTGAAATGACCAATATAATAGATATAGCCGTAACTTTTTTATTTTTAGATGAAATGCTTTGAAACTCATAATTTGATTATTTATTAGTAGTATAGACATGATGACATGGTCAAAATAGCAAGATCTCACGCGCATGCACGTGCGCTTTGCTCTGATTGGCTGAAACTAAAGTCTCTATATCTTTCTTGTTTTTCGACGAAATCTTATGAAATTTTGAACATAGCCATGCATTAATATATCCTACAACATGATATATAGCATTTTTCATAAAATCACGTGCATGCACGTGCGCTGCAATCTGATTGGCTTAAATTTTAAATAGCTATAACTCCCTTGGTTTTCAACCAAACAGGATGGGATTTGGAACATAGATAGATATAATGAACTTCTACAATATGATATGGTCGCCATGCACATGCATACACGTGGGCGTACTTGCGTTGTAATCTGATTGGCTGAAACTTTAAACAGCTATAACTGCTTTGGTTTTCAACCAAACGGAGTGGGATTTAGAACATAGAGAGATGTAATGGACGTCTACAAGAAGATATGGACACCAGGCTCATGTATGCACATGCGTGCACATGAAATGAGTTAAATCAAAAATACACTTGAATGAGCGTAGTTTTAAATACTTTTGGATTAAATAATTTAATATTTAGTATATTAAAATGTATAGATTGTGTAGACAAGATGATATGGTCATTACGCACATGCATTCACATGCGCACGCGTGCAATGCTAAAATTTGAATGAAGTTGGCGTTGTTAAAGTCTCAATGCATAGATTTTGTCCTATTTAATGAAGCTTACAGGGAATATGGCACCAAAAGGGAGTTGGGGAGCGTTTGGGGAACATCTGTAACGGTCCCCGTTACAATTAGCACTAGTTTAATTTGACATTTCACAGTGAAATTGTAAACAATTTGATATTTTTTTTTTAATTTTAAAAACAAGGGAGATAATATATAGCATGTACATTACTAATTTAGCCTTTGCAAATCACTGACTTGGGATCTTGAACTTGTTCTTAGACTTTAACTTTTCTTATTAAAGTAAGCTTGACTTGATTTTAAAATGTTAATCTTTCAGGGCTTGGACAAAACTGAACATTGGCATTTTTCAATTATCATTATGCTAAAGAAACTAATTACTTTAATTCTCTGGAAATCTTTAATGAATATGAGTTATTCTGTATGTCTGTGCATTAGATTTTTTTTGTATTGTGATAGACACAATCCATGCCTCAATCCTTTTCAGTCAATTCAAAGATCAAGAATCTAAAGGACTATAGATTTCGGATTTTAAACAACTTGACCCCACAGCCCACTGGGATTGAAATCGAAAACACACTGAAGTACTTTTCCCAGACTTTAAGAAGGTGAGCATTTTTTGTGTGCTTGTAATGTTTAATAGCTGCTTACTAATTACCTACATTATATATACAGTGCAATCCCCTTTTATTTTTGCACCTTTTGCCCAACTCTCAGTTGGGTGAATTTAAAGTGGGACAAATCAAGGAACACTATTATTTCTTGACCAGAACCATGAAAAAGTGAATGAATTTAAAGGAGACTAAATTTTTTACAAGTGTGAAAGGGCAAAAATAACTTGGAAGGGGGATAACCCTTTATGCAGTATATTTTAATAGCAAGAAATGATTGACAGCCCATTAAGGCATAAACTGTATATAACTGTAACAACACCCTTACAACAGAGAGAAAATATATAACACCATGCGTTCATGACCATCTTCGATGGATCCTGCATCACGCAGCAACAATTTATGTTGATAATTTAAACACAGACTCAAACTTAGTGTAGATGGTACATCTGACCGATACTTTTGTGATGAACTGCAAGGCTGAAGTTTCTTACCAGGTTCTTTACTTATCATCTATAAGTCGCACCATAGCCAAACTGACATTGATGCTGCTTAGATGTGTGTGGAGTTCATTTCAGCTGGATGGTAAAGATGTCATATGATTGGTACAGAAGAAGCCAGATTTACATTACTAGAGCAGTTTCATTTTCATGTCTGATAAAAATTTACCAAATTTAGACTTTCATGTATGAAACTTCTAGGGTTGCTTATTAGCTTTGACAACTGAATTTATAGTTTGTACTAATAGTTTTTAAATTGAACATTGAATTTGTGTGAGACTAATCCTGACTTGTAAGCATACGCCAAAGTGACCTTCCTAGTCTTATTTTGCCTATTTCCAGTGTATTGAAGGATGTCCCCAACATTCCAGCAGAGAGCTATGGGCCACGACAGAGGGACAGTGTGCGGCAGTCGGTTTTTCCTAATCTGAACTACACAGGGTTGTATTATGCCATCCTGAATATGATTGACATTGTACCTACAATGCAGATGAAACAGATAGGTATGTATTAAATTTTTGCAAGGAGGAACCTGTCAACCAATCACAAAACAATTATAATTACAAGAGCTGAGCTTGATTTTTGAAAATGTTAATGTTTTTCATAACAGATATTGAAGTCTGAAATGTAGATGAAAAACTGTGAAATCAATAAATGGATATCTTTTTTTTTGATATATATACAATGAATATGAAAAAAACATGAGTATATATGAGTTATTTATTTACAGAAATAGGGGAGTATGTTCTTAAGGTTCTGGGATGCCTTGTTCCATTTTTGGAGCACGATCTACTGGATTCTCTACCTTACACAGTGGCTTCAACGTTAGCAATATTTCCTCCTACATTACACAAGGACACCATTGATCTGCTTTGTAGCAACATGCTGCCAATGACTCTGGGTTTGTATTATCTAAAAGACTACATTGCTGTCTGTGTGTACATCTTTTCAGTCATTTTTTTTTTTGATATTAGGAACATAATTTTTATCAGCAAAATAATGTTCATGTTTATGAAAATGATAAAAGAAGAAATCAAAATAAAATGGAGGTCTAAACATTTTGCCTTTTTATTCCCTCATATCAAAGTTGGAGGGATATAGTAATGAGTTTGTGTGTGGACGGGTAGGTGATTTAGTAATTGCATGCATCATAATGGAAGAGATGAAACTACATTGTAATAATATATATCATGATTGATATGCTCCTATGCAAAGATGATAAACATATGTAGCCAAAGACTATTACCATGGTGCACTTCAGTAGTATGAAGTTGCACATACACTACAATATCTTTTTTGTCTGACAATTGTTCTTAGGTGATACGTATTTTTAAAGTTTATTTAAAAATAATTTTTTTATTTATAAAGTTCTAAAATTCCAGGTTATGATGGCTGCTTTGAACCTTCCTATGCCAGCGAGTCAGCTGCTGCCATTATAACGATGGTTCTCCAGCATACAGACAATGGTTGTAAGTTCATAGTCATTTGTTTAATCTATTGCTTCATCAGAAAAAAAGTTAAACAGTTATAGAAAAAGTTCATAGAAATAGTATCATGGTAAATATTTTCTCTGCAATGTTGCATGTGTGTTTTTATCTTATTTTGTAAAAGATTAAAAAGCCCATAAACAAAAGTGAAGTTGGAGGTGAGGGGTAGAAAAAAAATACCCTGGTAATGCAAAATTTTGTCTGTGATGTAAGGTCATGCTCATTGATGTTTATTTTATTTTGTATATTACAGCATTCCACTCACAGATTTTAGAATGTTTTATGAGCATTAAAAGAGACCTTATTAAGGTAATCTTTACATCTAAGTCTTCATACTTTGCCATTGTGTGGTAAACAACTATTTCAAACTAGTAAGTTACATTCCAATATTTACTGTTTCAATGTGTATTAAAAAATTTCTTTATAGCATATTGATATACTAGTATATTGAAGCACTTTGAACAGCCCAGTGGGGCTAAATTTTAGGAGAATATTTCTTAGCTCAAATCAGAATTGACTATAGACCCGTCCAAAATCTACTCTCGGAAGGGTTGTAGAGTAGATTTCGGATCGGAAACCCTTGGCTAGCGAAGATGCTATAGCCCATGCTAGTGAAATCACAGAGGGGGTAGTACTGTATTAACTCATTTTATTGTAGGACATCCTTAGTATTGTGGCCTATGGACCTTTCACTGCCAGAGCACCTGCTGCCAATCTGTTGTTTTATTACTGGCCTCAGCTTAATCCTGCTCTGACAGATAGAAGAGGAATCCACTACAAGTACACAGGTATACCAATACATTGTCAAAACGGGAAGTTAGCCTTTGTGAGGATATCTGTGTATGAAAGCTGAAGAAAATTAAGAATCGTGATAATTATAGGAAAATGGTAAAAAAGAAAATTTGAACAGAATTGTCTTTCTGTTGATAATGTATGAAGTAAAATATATGTTTATTTGTTTAATTTGAAATTATAATATATTGCATATTGTATTGTTATTTTTAGCTTGGCCTCCAGTACTCTGTCAGAGACAAGGTTGTGTTAACTCAGGGAACTGTCAGGCTGTCAAGGTAAACCTTCAAATAACAGCAATGATCTGTATAACAAATATTTAGTTCCTCTTTCTGGTCACACTATAGATAAATTTTCTTGAAAAGAGTAAATTAAACTTCTTTTGATCATTTCCCCCTTTCCCAGTACTACTGTAGATAAGTTAAGAAGAATTAAAGGCTTTGTACATGTATTTAAGTTATTGTATAAACTGAATTGTTCGATTCTGTGATAGTGACCTTTTAAATTCCTTATATTTGAATAGATGTGTTTAAACCCTGCCCTGGCCATTCACTCTGGAGACAAGCCCCCTCCCCTGTATATCTGTAGTGACTGCGCTGATGAACTGAGAAAGGAACACAGTGAATACATCACGGATATTCTACTGCCAATGTCACATGTATCAACTGTCTGTGAAAATAAGGTTGGTCTTTTAAAAGAATTAACATTTGATTGAAAACTGAAAATAATGCAGAAAAGTTATAGAATTTGAAACTCTTAAGGACAGATGATACAAACATACATGTTAACCTATTGTGATGAAAAATAGGGAGATTCCGACCACGAAAGCGGTAGCATTGCGCGCATTGTTTTATGCTTAGACTTATGAAGATATATTGCATGTAATATACATGTATGGTTTTACTTGAAAATACAATTATTAATCTTAAATATCTATTGCAAAGAAATAAGACAGAAACACATTAAGTTTGACATAAATTATACATATTCAAATATTTTTTTATGTTCATCATTTTGCTATGATTGGCTACTTGACTTAGCCTTTTGAAGAGTGGTCTTTGCTTATGTAGCCAAGAAGCAATAATTCTGAATGTTCATTCAGTTGTCAAACACAACAAATGATGACAAAGTTTAATCAAGATCTAAAACTAGTCCCTATCTTTCGTTAAATAAATCGGATTTCCCGCGATGATCGAAAACGAAAGTAGAGATGTGCCTCATGGCTTGGTCAGTCGAGTGATTTCTATAGACTTTATTGATTAAATTGCGAGCTCCTGTGCTTTTATAGACGATGTCAAAGGTTTTCATCCAATTCTAAAATGCTGTATCTCCTTTTTCATGGCAGTAATGTCAACTAAATTAATCGTAATCAATGTAATCACTGATTTTGTGCTGTTGTCGTTGTCAAATACGTGCTTGAAATCTATGTACACATCGGTACAAAAAAGCATTTGTATGATTCCGGGTCAAATCACGCGATATCTAACGAGATTTCTTGACGAGTGGCTTCAAAAATGGATACCCAAGCGAACCAAAAATACTTTAGACGAAAGTTTTATAGAAAAGTGGTATATTTGCACATAAAATCGGTAGGCAGGAGATGGAGTAAAAAAGCGGTAGACTCCCACCTAAATCGGTAGAGTTAACTTGTATGATACAAACAAAAAATGGATGACTGGATTGGTAAAAACTATGCAGTGAAACTTATTCATTTTACTCATTTACACATGACCCAAATTGTTAATTTTCAAATTTTTTGACATAAGTTTGTTGTATCATCTGTCCTTAATATGTATAACTTACAGTGAAAATAAAAAAGCATCTCAATAAAACCACAGCAACATACATTACCATTTCACTGTCACTTTAATTCTTATTATAGAACTGCAGATCTGAAGACAATCTTGCTGTTTGTACATGTTTCTCTATTGAGTGTGCCAGCTACAATGGCAATCGACCAATCAGATACTGTGAGTACTGTGACAGCCAGCGCCACCATGGACAGAAAGGAGAGCTCCACATCTACCACCGCAGTATTCCAGAAATATGGGACTGTAACATGGAGGTCCAGAGGTACCTTACTGATGGCATTGTCAGGTAAGGAAAAGTGACAAGTATTTGAATAAAGTTTTATTTATATAATTTTAGCCAGAG